TTCCGACCCTTAATCTATGAATCTATGAATCTATGAACCAGGGCACACTGTTGGCCCATATCCAGCTTATTGTCCATGGTAATGCCCAAAAGGAGTCCTTCTCTGCAGATCTGCTGTTTAGCCAGTTGGTCCTAAGCCTGTACAAGTGCATGGGATTCTTCCATCCTAAGTGCAGGATTGCACTTCTCCTGATTGAACCTCATGGGCATGTCCACATGAGTGCACACATGCCTTTTGCCCCGCCTCAAACCCCTTTGAGGCAGGGCAACAGGCACATGCGGGGACAAAAAAATGTTCCCCCTGGATATCCAGGAGTCAAAAAAAAATCAATGTTTAAAAAATCGTGGCAGAGCACAGTCCCTGACCATGCCCTGAGGTAACTGGAGGCTGGGTCCTCCATGGACATGCTTTGCTGCCAGAACGATTCTATGGTTGGCCCTCACCCTGGTGCTGAAACACACAGCTATTAGGGGGGAGGGGCCAGCCAGAGCAGGCTGTAGTCTGTAGTCTACACCTGTAGTCTTTTACCTGTAGTCTGGCTGCCTCTGGCTGACTGGGGCCCCGCCCACACAGTGCAGGGCAGGGTGACAGCCCCAGTAGCCCCAGCCTGGGCCCTCCTGCCTCCCCGCTGTCCCGTGCTGCCCAGGGGGCTCTGCCAGGAGGCCCTGAAGCCCCTCCACCCCTGCTTCTAAAGTAAGCAGAGGCTTTTTTTTCCTGTTTTCTTTCTGGGGTTTTTTAAAGTGATGGTGCCTGGGGTTGTGGGGGTAGCCATGGGGACCTGGGGGTGCAAGCTGGGGGGTCTGGCAGCTTCTGGGGCCCAGCCAATTGGTACCTGGGGACACTATCCCTTGTGCTAGCTGGGGATGCAGGGGTGGGGCAGCCACTGGGGGGGGGCTGCAGGAACTTGTGGGGGATGGGGCCAAGTGGAGCAACAATTGGGGGCTGCAGTGGGGCATGTGGGCCTTGCAAGGGGGTTAGTAAACCCTGTGGGGGCCACTTGGCCCCAGTTGGGGGCCTGTACCCCTTGTGTGGGTGCTGAACCCCCTGTTGGGGGCCTGTACCCTTCATGTGGGCGCCAAACCCCCTGTTGGGGGGCCGAACCCCTTGTTTGGGGTTGAACTCCCCGTTGGGGGCCATACCCCTTC